CGGACTACGCACGCAAATCGAAAAAGGCTAAAATGAGGTATTTAAGACTTCAAAACGCAGAATTAGGTTCTAAAACATAAGATGACCTATCGGGTTATCATAGAAATTCAGCCAAAATCAAGTCTAATCTTCACCAAACACCCTCAAAATTGAGATATAAACTCCAAACAATATTCCCAATTATTTGCAACAACACACAATCCAAACAAATAATGATTTTTGAAAGCCCAAATTCTATTTTAAAGCTTCAAAGCTTTTTAATGGTTGTCAATGGTGGAGAGTCAAACACCTTCAAAATTTATTGATTGACAATTTCAATTTGAACAACAATTGTACAACATGAAAGGAAATTACTAAGTTAAAACTCTATAGTAAAATGATTGAAATCCATTGATAAATTTCATTAAAAATATATACAACATGAAAGGATAAAAAGTAGAGAACATCAAAGGAAGAAAAATTTGGGAAAGGACAGAGAATGAGAGATAGAGAGACAGAGAGAAACGGAGAGAGAGAGAACAGGAATGGAAAATAACGGATTCCTTATTCAATTCATAATTTAAAGGGATACTCATTTAAAATTAATTTGTATATAATTGGTAAATTGTATATGACCATGTAATTAAGTTAAAACTTGATTAAAGAAGGTAATAAAGTTTCATATGTAGTATAAGAAGGTAAAAAATCTCAAATCAGAATGCTACAGGTCCTACAGCAAGTTCCTAACCAATGTTAGTTCTCACCTCTGTTGACATATAGAGGCTTGAAGACAACAATAAGACAAAGATATTTGGTGATTATCTAATTTTCATAATTCCATACTTAAGATAAAGTCCTATACTTTAAAGTAGATGAAGTAATCAAGCAGCTTTTGAAGTGGTTGGAAATTCTGTTGGATTCAAGATTCTCGTGTTGTTCGTATTCACATTCACTTCAACAAAGAAAGAAAATGTGTGATGGACAAATTGAATCTTTACGCTAGAATTTACATTATATGAGTATTGAGAAAAAGACCCTCCTCATCACTGTTAACATTATTTGTTCCTTTTAAAAAAAGAATTGAATTGCATGGATAGGCAGTCAGAGTTTATGCATACTTGTTTAAGTTTTTAAGTATAGACAATAAGCTATTCACTTCCCACCAAATAGAAAGGAAAAATGAGTATGTAGAAGCACCTCAGAGGTAGACTAATTCATATATGCATTTATGTACAGATAGATATACGTATCACCACGTAAGTACAGATGTATACAAAGTTACATGCTACAAACTTAGCTTATATATTTCACTTGAGATACCAGAAATATCTATATGTAAAACATCACATCCATCTCCAACAGAGATTATACATATATACTCCAAGATATTCATGCATGCAGCTTTTAAACTACCACTAAAACCAGCTCTCATAATCCACATGATCACTAATTAATCCATATTGACGTGCTAAAACTACATGGGATATGACATATAAAAGCTAGAAATTACAATTAAAACATACGGTCACATGCTACGGCAAATGAACGGAGCACGTTTTGCCCAATCAAAAATATCCCAAAACCGAACTTTTTTGCGTGCAGCAGCAGATGTAGTAGCATCCCCTGTTTCATTCCTTTTCAGCATCTCCCACAAAATATGAACATCTTCATATTCACATTTCCTCACATCACGGCGAAGCTTTACAAGCCCTATAAATAAAAGTTTGAAGGGTGATAATTATTGTGGTCATCAGTACATTTAGATTACGAGTTTAATTTTTATATACTAATAGCGAAAAAAGATCATTTTTAATCCCTTGAGTGAAGGATTGTGTTTTTTAGATTCGTCTCGCATATGAGTTTATTTAATCAACAATAAAAATGAAAATACCCCACGAGCAACATCAACACTGATATTCTTAATTATCTACTAGCTTGTGGGGTCTTAAGAAATAACCACCATCGTTAATCTGGTTGCCTAAAGAATAAGCAGTTATTTATTTCTTAATGACGTGACAGAGTGCATAGTCAGCAACTCAGCATATATAACCAATCACAAACCAAACATCATTGTTTTGACCTTATTTTCATTTACATTTGGGGCAATCAAACTTGTTGCTGGATTAATTCTCAAAAAGAAAATGATTGAAAAAAATAAAACAATGAGGAGAAATGAGTCGATTTGAAGGGTTCCAAAATTGAAATATTACCTCTGTTAAAAAGAGAAACTAAAGAAAGAAATGCGCAGTTACAATGATTAGTGAAGAATAATCCTCTTTCTGTTTCCAAAAGCAATCAAAATCAATTTTATTTCAGTTATTCCCTAAAAGACATCGACTTTATTTTCCCATTAAAAAGCAAAACCATAAATTAAGTATTATTTTCGACTGCAAAAAGCAGAGGCCTTAGATAAAAGCAAGAGAAAAGAATCAACTGAAAACATCAAAGTGCCGAAGAAATAAATTGAAATTGCATAACTTGGGCTAGACTTCGGTTTTTCGTTTCCCTGGGATGTTTAATTAATTACAACTCAATCATAAACTAGTTTGAATATACTGTATCAATCTTTATATCCATTTTGTTTCTTTCCGTTAAATAGATACATGAACATCAGAGGCGGATCTAGAATTTTAAATGTATGGGTTCCTAAAAAAACTCAAGTTAATATATAATAATAACTGAATTATCGAACTGATTTTCAAGCTAAATATTCTTATACATTTAATGAATTTTTCAATGCAAATACAGGATCTAGACAAAAGCTACTGGGTTCACGGGAACCCGTAGTTATTGTGCTGGATCCGCCCCTGATGAGCATGACAACATATGCGAATTCAAAATTTAAACTATATTCTTAGAATTAAACTCGTTATATCTTTAAAATTATGCATTCATATCTACAATTTGTTAGTAAATTTTTACACATAAGTTTATATTTCACGTCGAAATTTTTAGATTCAGATGAATCCGATACGGAAAGGCGGGATCCGTCCCTAATGACAGAAATTATAAAGTGTGTGCATGGAGGATAATAGGAGAGGAATGAGAACTGACCATTTTTACGAATGCGGAGACGTCTAGAAACTTTGGTCCAAACTTTGCGCATAGGAACCATCATTTTGTCCAACAACTCCATCACCATTTATTCTGATGATTATTTGAACAAAACAAATTCCAAACCAAGTTCCAAACGTTTAGCTCACGAAACAAATGAAGCAAGATTTTCCTTTTCCTTAATAGAATTTGTGTATGTGGGAATCTGAAAGGAGAAACAGAGATCGGAAAAAACAAAGCAAAATACAAACCGAACTCTCTCTCTTCTCTCTATTTTTCTCAAGAAGAGAAGGAGATGGAGCGGGATGTTTGTTGCAGAAATAAGTAAATAACGTTTGGTGGTTATAAGTAGAAAACAACATTTGACACGTGGCAGGTCCGAGCCGGTTCACAACCTATGACAATGACCGTTCTCTGCTGATTGCAACATCACCAATGCCGGCGTCCTAGATTTTTTATCACCACATGACACACAGCCCTTTGCATTGGCTTAAAAAAAATAATTTTTAAGTTAATTGCTTAAAAATATTTTATAAGTGATGAAACTTATTTTATAAATAAGTAATTATATATTTGAATAAAAGTGTTGAAACTGAAAACAAGGTGATGAAGTATTTGGTAAACTAGTACTGGTCAGCTCTTTTTTTTGTTAAAATGACTGAAATATTCTTAAAGTTGTTAACATTATAAAGAAGATGATGACTATAATATTATATTTTCTGTTCATAGTTTCAAATTCAGGGGTAACGCATAAATTCAATGAATGATTTGATTTTAGAATATAGCTACACCAATTTAAAAAAAAAAGGAAGGATTCAACGACCAGAAAAATTAAATGTTATGGAACCAAAAAAAAAAATTAAAAGAACAATATTTACAAAATATTGGAATGTATCAAACATTATTTAAAAAACTACTGTTTGCCTCATGTTAAGAACTTCAAGAAATTGACAAATATTGGAGAATGACAGTAGCAAAGGCAAGATGAAGAACGAAGATTAGAACTGACATAAGGAAAGTGACGGGAAAGGGAGGGAAGAAAGAAAGGAAAGAAAAAAGAGGGAAAAATAATGAATGAAAGTGTAAAGAAAAAAATGAAAGGAAAAGAGAGGAAAGTTATGGAAGAAGACGAAGAAGAAAGCAGAGGCTGCTGCAACAAGAATGGAGAAAGAAAAGATAGTATGTTGTAGGGTTTTCTACTGAGGGATAATTTCAGGATTAAGAATAATTATAAGGGATAAGAATGTAATATCTTTGGTCAAAGCGATATGGCTTTTAAGCCAATTTCGAAAAAGTTGGATTTTCCAACTTATTGATTTTGACTTTTTTTAAGCAGATTTTAACTTTTTTTAAACCATTTTTTTTGGTTGTCAAACACTTCTACAAGTTAAAAACTGCTTAAAAGCTGGTCTGATTTCTGATTTGACCAGCTTTTAAGACCATCCAAACAGGCTCACCAGTCTACAGGTTGTTTTTAATTAGATTTCGTGTATTAGCAATGCTGACATTAACTATTATTAAAAGATAAAATTTCTCTTTTAAAGTAACAAATTCATGTATGACAATCCACTATTATTAATCACTGCCGTATAAACTTTCTTTGCATTTTGATTCCCGAGTAAGCCAAACGACTCCGAAAAACAATTCTACCAATAATCTTGTACGTGAGTAATATTATTGTCATACAATCAATCGGTTGTATCTCAATGACACACCGCCATTGTATTATACAACGAATATTTTTTGTTATGTGACCAACCAAACATTATATTATCTTACTTAAAATTTTATGTTGTGATTAATTGATGTAATACCATAATCAAACAACCCCACTAAAAAACTTTCGTTCAGCGATAAGCGAATTATTAACAAATAAAAATTAATGTGATTCTCTATTATATTTCTTATAACTTTTTTTCTCACATAATTATCAAGGAGTAAGAAAAGCTCAACTGAGCAGTAAAGGATTGAAATTTTAATATCATGCACAACAGCTTGAATTGTGACATCTTGATCACGGACAAGTCCAATTGGGAAGAGAAACATCTTTTGGTCTAATCTAAATGGTAAAATTTGGCGAGATAGCTTGTAAAAAGTCTGGCATTGTTAATCTCTCAGCTAATTGATGCAATTTTTATTCGATTCTATCCTTGAAGATATATTGAAACATCCAAAGCAGAGCGTGCAAATTAATCAGAAGCAACTTTCTTCAAACTTGTAACGTACGTCAAATATATAGTCCACGCATAGGAAAATGAACTATTAATCAATGACTGCCAAAGAACATTACCACATTATTAGACTAATATAGAAGGAATTGAAGTGAGTATTTTTCTAATAAAGCAAGACTATGAAATGTGAATACCTGCAAATGGACAGGGATTACTTTATATGTCAAGAAATCACACACTGGCCAGTGCATAAGTCCCTTAATCATCGTTGGGAGAAGGTCGCGCTTCAACCTTACAGCGATTTCTTCCCCATTCTCACCTGAACATTATCAACAAAAAAAGATTCAAAGAATTAGAAAATGTTGAAAGAAATGAGATCTCAAGTCAGAAAAGAAACGACAACCACCTTTTATGGTATTGAGTTCTATAGTTGCATTACATTTGCAGTGGTTCACAATATCATATACTAATCAAGAAAATAACATAATTGGATAACAGTTAAACCACTTCACTTTCAGAAAGGTAAGAATTATGCAGAAACCAAATGAAATAAAAGAAGCAAATGTATACCTTGTAGAGCGGCATTGAAAGAGAAGAAAGCAGAATTAATTAGAGCCCCATAAGCAAACTGTCCTATCAACAATTTCTTCAAGGTAGAAACTATATCTCTCTTTGGTAATACCCTCCCCATATAGTTAAACCAGAGATGTTGTGTTGTTCCTAAGATAATCAATCCAAAACCAGCCATACGCAGAGTCCTTACTATATCTAGAGAATCTGAAGGCGACATGATAACCATCTCACAAATACAAATCCCATCATTATACCACCAAAAAAGATTCAAAATTTACTCAAATTTTTAAATATTTGATTAAATTAAAGCAGTAAAATCATAAATAACAACTATGACTTTGACACAATCGGTACTGCATAGTTTCACATATTAACTGAACCTAATATTTTCGACACTAAGCATAATATATACTATGTTAAAATTACTAAAATTTCAACAAATATTAAGTTCTAAACCCATGATTGTAAAAGTGCAAAGGTACGCTTCAATGGTGACCGGTGAGAACATAAATATTCAACCTATCAAATTTAAATATCAAATACATATCTGACCGGGTATGATCATCTATTCATCTAGCTATATTAATTCTGCTCTATTTGTACCTGTTACATGCCAACCACAAAATTTAAAAAATCACAGAATTGAGAAAAACAAGAGTACCTGAGAAGTAACATCGGCAACAGCATATATAATAGCAGAAGAAATTGATTTGGTGATGATTGGACGAGACTCAAGAGCTCCCAAATACCATGCCAAGTATCCCATCTTGGTATTTGCACATTCAGAAGATGAAACTGATTTGCGAAGAAAAGTTGGAAACGAAAGAAAATGGGTTTTAGGGACTTTAGTTGCAGCAGTGTTCATAGATCGAGCAGAGTAAGCTCTGCATTGTTGATAGTGTGAAACAAAGTGACGCTGTGAGTGATGAACTATGCTATGTTTGCCTAACTTGGCTAGTAAATCGATACCCATTTTTTTCTTAATTCAGAAATTTCTGTTTTGTGATTTTTCCTAGTCTTATGGAGAACGTTATATAGCCTTTGGGGGAACCAAAAATGGTGGGGATCTGCTTTTTAAGGATGCTAGAAAAGGGGAGAAAATTTTGACTTGGATCTATATGTTTCACTTGACTTTTTCGTTTGCTCAATAGCTCAATTCTCGTGTCTGATTTTCAATCCCAGAAATTTCGTCTCATTATCGGAGTAATGTTGAAAGGGAACATGCTTTGGCTCCCACATATAGCTAAGTTGTCCTTATTTTGTTTTTTCAAACAAAGAATATTAATTTCCGCAAACATATAATTCCACTTGGATCGCATAGTCCAGTGTATAGGTTAAAATATGATTATATTATCTTACGTGAAATTTTATGTTGTTATTAATTGATGTAATACCATAATCAAACAACCCCACTAGAAAACTTTCGTTCAGCGATAAGCGAATTATTAACAAATAAAAATCAATGTGATTCTCTATTATATTTCTTATAACTTTTTCCTCGCATAATTATCAAGGAGTAAGAAAAGCTCAATTGAGCAGTAAAGGACTGAAATTTCAATATCATGCACTACAGCTTGAATTGTGACATCTTGATTACGGACAAGTCCAATTGGGAAGAGAGACATCTTTTGGTCTAATCTAAATGGTAAAATTTGGCGAGATAGCTTGGAAAAAGTCCAGCATTGTTAATCTCTCAGCTGATTGATATAATTTTCATTTGATTCTATCCTTGAAGATATATTGAAACGCCCAAGCAGAGCGTGCAAATTAATCAGAAGCAGCTTTCTTCAAACTTGCAACGTACGTCAAATATATAGTCCACGCATAGGAAAATGAACTATTAATCAAAGGCTGTCAAAGAACATTACCACATTATTAGACTGATATAGAAGGAATTGAAGTGAGAATTTTTCTAATGAAGTAACACTATGAAATGTGAATACCTGCAAATGGACAGGGATTACTTTATATGTCAAGAAATCACACATTGGCCAGTACATAAGTCCCTTAATCATCGTTGGGAGAAGGTCGCGCTCCAACCTTGCAGCGATTTCTTCCCCATTCTCACCTGAACATTACCAACAAAAAAAAGATTCAAAGAATTAGAAAATATTGAAAGAAATGAGATCTCAAGTCAGAAAAGAAAAGACAACCACCTTTTATGGTATTGAGTTCTATAGTTGCATTATATTTGCAGTGGTTCACAATATCATATACTAATCAAGAAAATAATATAATTGGATAATAGTTAAACTACTCCACTTTCAGAAAGGTAAGAATTGTGCAAAAATCAAACGAAATAGAAAAGAAACAAATGTGTACCTTGTAGAGCGGCATTGAAAGAGAAGAAAGCAGAATTAATTAGAGGCCCATAAGCAAATTGTCCTATCAACAATTTCTTCAAGGTAGAAACTATATCTCTCTTTGGTAATACCCTCCCCATATAGTTAAACCAGAGATGTTGTGTTGTTCCTAAGATGATCAATCCAAAACCAGCCATACGCAGAGTCCTTACTATATCTAGAGAATCTGAAAGAGACTTGGTAACCATCTGACAAATACAAATCACATCATTATACCACCAAAAAAGATTCAAACTTTACTCAAATTTTTAAATATCTGATCAAATCAAAGTTGTAAAATCATAACTAACAACTACGACTTTGACACAATTCTGAACTTGTTAGGATTGGTTATAGAGATGGATTTACTGTATAATTTCACATATTAACCGAACTTAATATTTTCGATACTAAGCATAATATTTACTATGTGAAAATTACTAAAATTTCAACAAATATTAAGTTCTAAACCCATGATTGTAAAAGTGCAAAGGCACGCTTCAATGGTGACCGGTGAGAACATAAATATTCAACCTATCAAATTTAAATATCGAATACATCTCTGACCGGGTATGATCATCTATTCATCTAGCTATATTAATTTCGCTCTATTTGTACCTGTTACATGCCAACCACAAAATTAAAAACATCACAGAATTGAGGAAAAAGAGTACCTGAGAAGTAACATCGGCAGCAGCATATATAATAGCAGAAGAAATAGATTTGGTGATGATTGGACGAGACTCAAGAGCTCCCAAATACCATGCCAAGAATCCCATCTTGGTATTTGCACATTCAGAAGATGAAACTGATTTGCGAAGAAAAGTTTGAAATGAAAGAAAATGGGTTTTAGGGACTTTAGTTGTAGCAGTGTTCATAGATCGAGCAGAGTAAGCTCTGCATTGTTGATAGTGTGAAACAAAGTGACGCTGTGAGTGATGAACTATGCTATGTTTGCCTAACTTGGCTAGTAAATCGATACCCATTTTTTTCTTAATTCAGAAATTTCTGTTTTGTGATTTTTCCTAGTCTTATGGAGAACGTTATATAGCCTTTGGGGGAACCAAAAATGGTGGGGATCTGCTTTTTAAGGATGCTAGAAAAGGGGAGAAAATTTTGACTTGGATCTATATGTTTCACTTGACTTTTTCGTTTGCTCAATAGCTCAATTCTCGTGTCTGATTTTCAATCCCAGAAATTTCGTCTCATTATCGGAGTAATGTTGAAAGGGAACATGCTTTGGCTCCCACATATATCTAAGTTGTCCTTGTTTGTTTTTTTTTTTTCAAATGAAGAATATTAATTTCCGCAAACATATAATTCCACTTGGATCGCATAGTCCACTGTATAGGATAAAATATGTTTATAGAGTTATTTTTAATTAGAATTCGTATATTAGCAACACTGACATTAACTATTTACATATAAAATTGCTCTTTTAAAGTAATAAATTCATGTATAACGATCCACTATTATTAATTATCGTAAAACAATCACTTTATTAGTAATCACCGTATAAATATTCTTTGAATTATGATTCTCGGGATGAACCAAACGACTCCGAAGGAGATTTCTACCAATTATCTTGTACAATATTATTGTCATTCAGTCAATTAGTTGTGTCTCAATGACAAACCGACTTTATATTATGCGACGAATGTTCTTTTTTATGCGATCAACCAAACATTACATTATCTTACATAGAATTTTATATTGTGATTAATTTATCTAATATCACAATCAAACTACCCCACAGGAAACTTCTGTTCGTTCATCGATAAGGGAATTATTAGTGAATAAAAATCAAAGTGATTCTCAAATATATTTTTTTATATAACTTTTTCCTCACATAATTATCAAGGAGTAAGAAAAACTCAAATAAGCGCTGAAATTTCAATATCGTGCACTGCAACTTGAATTGTGACATCTTGATCACGGAAATGACCAATTGGGAAGAGCTACATCTTTTGGTCTAATCTAAATGGTAAAGAATGGCGAGGTAGCTTGTAAAAAGTCCGACATTGTTAATCTCTCAGCTGATTGATGTTATTTTCATTTGATTCTATCCTTGAAAATATATTGAAACATCCAAAGCAGGGCGTGCAAATTAATCAGCTTTCTTCAAACTTGCAACGTACGTCAAATATATAGTCCACGCATAGGAAAATGAACTATTAATCAACGACTGCCAAAGAACATTACCACATTATTAGAATGATATAGAAGGAATTGAAGTGAGCATTTTTCTAATGAAGCAAGACTATGAAATGCGAATACCTTCAAATGGACGGGGATTACTTTATATGTCAAGAAATCACACATTGGCCAGTACATAAGTCCTTTAATCATTGTTGGGAGCAGGTCGCGCTTCAACCTTGCAGCGATTTCTTCCCCATTCCTAACTGGACATTACCAACAAAAAAAAAGATTCAAAGAATTAAAATATGTTGAAAGAAATGAGATCTCAAGTCAAAAAGAAACAACAACCATCTTTTATGGTATTGAGTTCTTGTCACGACCCAAACTCCCTCCGTATAACGTAGTGACGACACCTAGTCTCTACGACTAGGTAAGCCTAACAAATTACGGAAAAATAACAAAACGAAAGTAAAACTTGGCAACTAACAACAGTGGATAACTAAATAACTAGTATCAATATCGTTCGGCATGTGCAATAACCAATACTCTATAAATACACAGTCTTCCCAAAACCTAAAACATCATAAGTCACAAGCTACAGAAGGAAACTAGTATCTCTATACACCAGAGTCTAACAAAAGAAGTACGGAAGGTAAATGACATAGGAAAGAATAGAGGGGGACTCCGAGGTCTGCGTACGCGGCAGATGTACCTTAAAGTCTCCGTACAACAGCAAGCACTCTCAGCTAGTAGCGGGGCTGATAAGAAGTACCTGGATCTACACACAAAACTATGTGCAGAAGAGTAGCATGATTACACCACAATGGTACCCAGTAAGTGCCAAGCCTAACCCCGGTCGAGTAGTGACGAGGTCAGGTCAGACCCATTGGTATATAATAATGGGAAAAGGCCCAAAAATGAACTTGTGGTATTCGAAATGGATCAATTATAACCTCCGTTTAAATTTGAATCCAAAAATGATCCTGCTGTTATAAAATGAGTCTAATAATGTCCTTGTGTTATTCAAAATGGATCAATAATGCCCTGGAATTTTATTTTTTTTAAAATGCTTTTAAAAACTAAAAAATATATATTCTGTAAAAACTAGAAAAAGAAAGGAATTTGCAAAATATATATTTTTAAGTCTTTTCAGTTTTTTTAAAGTATTTATTTTGTAAAAACAAAAAAAAATATTTTTTTAAAAAACTAGAAAAAAAAACTCTCCTAAAGCAGTGGACTACATATGCATTAGTTTTTAAAAAATAAAAATATTTTGCAAAATCTATTTTTTTTCAATTTGACGGTTCAATTTTTTTTCGGTTTATTTTTATAAAATAAAAAATCTACCATAATTATTGGTACAGTTATAGATTTATATAAAAACATACGATTTTATTAAAAAAAACTAAAAATCGGTTCGGCACGGTACGATTATGTCGGTTTAGTCAGTTTTTAAATATTCATTTACACCGACATATAACTGTTTAGTCGGTTTAAATATTCATTTACAGTTATATGTCAGTGTAAATGAATATTTAAAAACCGTGATGTAAATGGCGTACCCCGGTCAGAGATGATAGATACCGGTACGCCATGAAGCCTGACAATCTTGCGGATATAAATTCGAGCCAGATGCTCAGAAGAATAGGTAGTCATCACAGGGAGGAAATGAGCTGACTTGGTTAGCCTATCCACAATCACCCAAACTGCATCAAACCTCCGCTGAGTCCGTGAGAGTCCAACAACGAAATCCATAGTGATCTGCTCCCATTTTCACTCTGCAATCTCTAACTTTTGAAGTAACCCACCTGGTCGCTGATGCTCATACTTCACCTGCTGGCAATTTAGACATCGAGCTACATACTCCACTATGTCCTTTT